TGACAATAAAGAACTCAAATAGAATTATATTTCTCTGTCATAAAACCAAGATGATTCATTCAAGATTTGAGGCCTAAGATGAGTTAATGGAGTTAAAACACAAATGAGCCAGAAACTCACCAAATGGCCTAGACCATAAGACCATACAAAATAGGAACAGGAGTAGGCTGTTCGGCTCGAGTCTGCACTGCCATTCAATAGGATTGTGGCTCACATCCACTTTTCCTGCCCTTTCCCCATAACCTTTAATTCCCCTGCTGATCAAGAACCTATCCCAGCTTAAAGATATATAAGGACTCTGCTCCAACAGCCCTTTATGGCAAAGAGTTCCAAAGACTCTCAACCCTCAGACAAGAAATTCCTCTTTATCTCTGTCTGAAATTGATGCCTCACTATTCTGAGATTATGCCCTCTGGAGCTGGACTCTCCTAGGAGAGGACATATGTTCTCCACATTTATCTTGCCAAGTTCCTTAAGAACTGAGGAAGGGTCACCGGACGCGAAACATTAACTCTGTTTTTTCCTTCACAGATGCTGTCAGACCTGCTGTGCTTTTCCAGTAACTTTGTTTTTGTTCCTGATTTACAGCATCCGCAGTTCTTTTGGTTTTTATTGAATATAGTCCCAATCTGTTTAACCTTTATTGATAAGACAATCCCCCAATACTAGGGATCATCCTCGTGAATTTTCTCTGAAATGATATCTTTCCTTAAATAAGGGGACTGAAACTGCTCACAGCACTCCAGACATGGTCTCACCTGCATGTTTTTACAGTTACAATAAGACTTCCCTACTTTTATTTTCCATCCCCCTTGAAATAAAGGCCACACTCCATGAGCCTTCCTGATTACCTGCTGCACCTGTGTGCTAGCTTTCTGTGTTTCACGCATAAGTCCCCCCAAGTCCCTTTCGTTGCAGCTTTCTGCAATTTATCTCCATTTAAATAACATTCTGTTCTTTAGTTCTCCCTTCCAGAATGAACAAATTTGCATTTTCCTACATGATACTTCATTTGCCAATTTTTGACCACTTACTTAACCGATCAATATCTCACTATAACCTGTGTGCATCCTTTTCATAACCTGTCTTTCCATCCATGTTAGTGCCATCTGCAAACTTCGCTACAGAACATTCATTTCTTTCCACCAAGTCATTAATATACATATTGTAAACATTTGCAGTCTCAGCACTGATCCCACTGAGCTCCACAGGTCACAGGTCACCAACCTGTGAAAGAACCCTTAATCTCCACTCACTGCTTCCAGTCCATGAGCTAATTCTCTTGCAATATCAATATACTAGCTCCCAGACCATGGGTTCTTATCTCATGACTTAATCTTTTGTGAGGTACCTTGTCAAACAACTTCTGGAAATCCAAATATAACAGATCTACTTGTTCCCCTCTATGCATTCTGGTTGGGACTTCCTCGAAAAACTCTAATAAATTAGTTAGACATGATTTCCCTTTCATGAATCCATGCTGACTCTGCTTGATTAGATTATGATCATCCAAATATTTTGCTATTACTTCCTTAATAGTTGATTCCAATACTATTCCAACAATAGATGTTCGGCTAATCAGCTTTTTGCCTCCCTCTGTTTTTGAATAGGAGTGTCATAACAGGAGCTTTCCAATCCACCGGTAATTCTCCAGAATCCAACAATTTTTGGAAAATTGCAGCCAATGCATCCACTATCTCTGTAGCTACCTCCTTCAGGATCCTAGGATGCAAGCCACGAGTGACTTGACCTACTTTTGTTTCTGTGACACTCAGCTGGTGCTCCAGGATCATTATTAAAGAGAGAAAGGCAAAGGAGACAAATAAACTTGAATTCAAACAATGCCTTCCAAATCCTAAAGGTATCCCAAAAAGCCAAGGTGGTATTTCTGTAGTGTAGGCACTGTTATTCTTTAGGCAGATACAGCACCCAAATTGTGTACAGCAAGATCTTTCAAGCAACATGAAGGCAAATGGTCAATTCAGGTGGTGTTGTTTATAAAGAGAGCTTCACTTTGGGCTCAAAGGAGAATACTGATCATCCCACAGCCACCTGGAGATTTGTCTTTATGGATCAAGTACTTAGAAAATAAACTGCCTTGAACTGAAGGCTTCATGACAGTTGCCTGGGAACTGTGCATTAACTTGCACAACAGATTGCCAATGGTTGCAAATAAATTAAGTATTACAGAATACAATCCATTCTGCTAGAAATTGGTCAGGGAAAGGTATAAAAGTGTACATAAGTCAAACTACATAATCTCTTCCTGCTTGCAGCTCTGGCAGGACGCATCCATTCAACAAAAATACATTGCCTTTTTAAACTGCCTACTGCCAATTGTGAAGGAGATTAGCTTGTTTGTTTAGGCAAACAGCACATTTGCCACCTGTTTCATACTATTACGTACTGTGTATTAACAAATAAGCATGTTGTTACTAAAAGCACTTTAGAATGATGTCAAATGATAGACATTAAAAACTGTGTTTTATAGTTGAATGCTTATGAATCAATTTGGCTGGAGTTCAGTACTCATTCATGCACCTCAAATGTGATCAGGTGTACGCATGGATCAGTGGGTGCCAATCTGCTGCAGCCTGAGTTGCTTTGCATCCCTTCAGCAATGCACTATTCTTCCAAAATATAAGAAAGTTGGGAAAATTCCTTCCATGTACAATGAACTTGAGACAATAATGTAACTGGTCCAATAGTTATCAAGAATACCTGCTGAGGATAAGAGAACAAAGCATTAACTGATCATATTTAAATTCAACTTCCAGTCTTTGCCAAAGCTCATTTGAACCTGGGTCCCCAGAACGTTATCTTGGTCTTTGGATTAATAGTCTAGTGATAATACCACTAGGCCATCATCTCCAGGGGCCTTTGTGGCAACAGGGCCCAGACATGCTGACAGCATTCAAATACAGGACTACACTCTTCAGCTTGAACTTCCAAAGGTTTGGGGATTACACACAGGTTGAGTTGGTGAAGGGTGGAGGGGTAGGCAGGCATCTCTGAAGTGTCCTGAGAGAAGACTTTCAGCAGTGGGGGTACCTAGATGTAGTTTCACCTTCAGCTGAGTGCCTTCTGGCACTACCGTGTCTCTCTAGGAGGGAGGGGCACCTGTCTTGCAATTAGAGCTGAATACCAATAGCTACAGCAATAGAACGCAGATCTACGATACATCCAGCAGACGGAGTGTGCTGGACCTGGTTCTCCATGGTAGCTACCAACCTGCCCTTGGGGACAGCACAGTTTAAAGACCGTTGGCCGAATTATCAAATCTTGGATCCAGTTCCTCAAGTGTCTCCGCTAATGCTGTCGCTACTGTCAATTTTGTATTTTGACTGAGCTATTCATGAGCAACACCATGATGTCCTCTCCTGCCTAAGGCCTGTCCAGGTGCCTGGTCTCCAGGAGTCCTCCAAGTGTCAGCAACCTGAAGCATTTCTTCCTTGGCAAGCCGCAGAGGCATGCCAAAGATGTGCTCACCAGAATGTGCTCCAGACTCTAGCTAAAGCACCCACTGAACTGTCATTATCCGAGCTGGTGAAGGATGTAGAAGATAGCTAGGCCAGTGTTTCCTCTGAAGGATCAGTGATCACTCCTCAGGAGTGGAGGAAGAAATGTTGGCTGGAGGGGCTGCTCTCATGAGGCTGGACATTGAGCAGATTCCACTGGTGCCTGCAAGAAGACAAGACAGAGAATGAGTAGTAGGGGTACAGTAGAGTATTAGGCTTGTTAAAAATACATTCAGTTGATAATGAATCTAATTTGATTGCACACATGGTAGACTCAGTATCCCTGCATGAGCATCCTCTTTCCTCTCCCATGAGCTCAAGGATCCTCTCCTTGAATGAGGAGGGAAACAAACATTGGACACCCCACCACCACCCGTTTTGACTCTTTTAGCCATATTGTGGGCTGTTTTCTCCTGCAAGAAGACAAACTGGGATGAATGAGATGAAAATGACTCACACAGCTGTTTGTGTTGGTGCAGGTGGGAGAAATGAGGTGAGATGTCCTGAGTCAGTTAGTAGAAAGTGCAGGGGACAGGTAGAATTAGTAGCCTGGGAAATAGTATGGATGACAGCCATTGAGGAAAATTGCCACATGCAATGGTGGAAGAGGTAGACATGTGTGCAACAGCGGAGTTAGACTGAGAGTGAAGTAACAAAGAAGAGATGATGATATTTACCCTTGCGGAGCACAGAAGGTCATTAATCTCCTTCCTACATAAGGTATTCCTCCAGATCATGGACACCATGTAGAACCAGGTGGCAACTTCAGACCAGGCCAGGTCTGCTGGCATGGCCTATTCTGGCCAGCTTGAGGTGAGCCGCCCCGTCCAGCAGATCTTCCAAGTCTCCATCAGCAAATCAGGGTGTCAACTTGCCTCTGTCAGTCATCTCTGGCACAATTCTTCACACACTGCAACTGTGAAAATCTCTTTCTGCCTTGTAGTGTGCACAGGATTTAAATACTGTGCTGGCAGCAGCAAATCCAGAAAGATCTGGCAGCACTCATGCTCGTGAGCGCAAAGTATGAGACAGTGCCACCACGGGAATGTGGTGCATTCTTAACGAGATGAGCAGTGTAAAATTTCATGACACAACTCGCTGGAGCTTATGGGTAGAAACCACCCATGAAACGCCCTGAAATTGATACCTGCCTGATTTTTGATAAAATTCAGCTCAACAAGCCAGTGGGTTCTAACTGTACTGCAACCTTTCTATGAGTCTATAAACAATATTTTAGCAGAAGCACCCAGAAATTACATGAAGAAAATGAAAATCTCATCGAGGTTCACTAAACAATCATGGACTGTTAACCTGGCATAAATCAAGAGCACCAAATTAAGTAGCAGGGGTAAAGTTGTTAGATGTCTGTAAGCAACAGTAAATTTCCGTCAGGGCACTCTGTGGCTGATCTTTAACTTAAGCCCAATTTTTGGCAAGACTTACTGTAAAATCTAGATTTTAAAATCTTATTGTGTGTTCTACCTGATCAATGAAAGCCAGATGCCGCTGAATAGTTGATTCATACTGTTCCTTCTGCATTTTTATCCGATGACACATTTCCCTTTCAGTCTCTTTCATATGACGCACAGTCAATTCTTTTTGCTGTGCCTGAAAAGAAAAGTCTGATAAGAAAAGTATACAAAATTCTGTCCTTTGTTTATAAGGAACTGTACAACCAAATAGAAACAATTTACATTCTGTCCCATGTATCTCACTATGTAAATCAAATCAGTCTTACTGGAGGTACTGTACAACTTGGCTGACTCAGGACTAAGGTCAGAACAAGCGGGTAGAATTTTATGTGTAGGCAAAAGGCCTTGCCCACTAGTTTAAAGATATGGGTGAGCCTGCCATCAAGTGTTTGGGAAGCCCTGAGGTGGTGTTACAATCGCTGGGCTTTTATTTGGCTCAGGCAAGAGCTTTACCACATTGGGGAGCTAGCCTCTGCCTTGAGAGCTGCCATTCTTTCTAGTTCGAGCAATGGCAGGAGCTAGCAGACACTGCTAGGGGTTGCATGTATTCCCCAACAACAATCATCACTGTTGCTGGATTAGAAGGAGATGGAGGGGATTTCACTAGGGCTTGGCTGGCAGGTGCTCTGTCCCCAACCAACAGCCTCCAACAAGGGGTACAGGGTATTCCCTGGTCACCCCCTCCCTTCAATCACTGATAAATTACCTTGGTTAAGGAGGCAGGAGGAGGCTTTGAGTAGCCATTAAAAAATAAATCTGTGATGAATTTCATTAAATGAGTATAGAAAATAGGAGCAGAAGTAGGCCGTTCAGCCCCTCAAGCATGCTCCACCATTTAATAATATCATAGCTGATCTGTGTGAATTTCGAATTCCATATTCCATCTATCTCAAATAATTTTTGATTCCCATGCCTACCAAAACATTTCCAGCAACTTCTGTTTTTGTTCCTGATTTACAGCATCCACAGTTCTTTCGTTTTTTAAAGAATCCATCTACCTCTGCCTTAAAAATATTTAAAGATTCCACTGCCTTCCGAGGTAGTGTTCCAGAGTCATTTAGTCCTAAAGGAGCAACCCTTAATTTTAAAATAGTGCCCCCGAATTCTGCACTCACCCACATGACAAAAGACAATCCACGTCCATCTTTTCAAGACCATTTGGAATCATTTTTCTAATTCATTCATGGGTGGCAGGCATTGCTTTTTTAGTTTATTTTTATGACTCTAACCAGCAGAGAATTTCAGATTTTTATCACCATTTTAAAAATCATTTGCTGAGGTGGGGATTTGAACCTGGGTTCCCAAAACATTAGCTGCATCTCTGGATTAACAATGCAGTGATAACACCACTAGGCCATCTCCTCCCCTCAATCCTTCCCTAAATAAAGAAACATCAGGTAACTTTGATTTGGTTTGACTGTACCGTTTTGTATAGCATTCTAATATCTCATTGACTGAACCACTTCCAAAACATTCACCTCCCTCGTTAACCAAAACTGCACTTTGTAATCAAGGTGTGGTCACAACAATGCCTTGTTAACAAGGATAACATCCTTATTTTTAAATTCCGTTCCTAAGGAAAGCATCCTATTAGCCTTCCTGATTACATGCTGCGAGAGGTAGTGCACATTGTTATGGATAAGGAGGAGGTCACATACTCCTGGGAAAAGAAGTGTCTAAATGGAATGTGTTGGGACAGATACACAAGCCTCTAAAATAGCAACACAAGTTAATCAGGCCTTATGAGAGGAAACAAAGTCCTTGGGTTCATATCGAGAGAAAGTGAATTGGAAAGTCAAGTATTTAGGTTAAACTTTCATATAACCTTGGTCAGTTCAAATTTGAGCAGTTTCCGTTTAATTATATGGATGTAGACATCTATAATTGTCTACAGATTTTAGATCTGTATCAATACAGACAGATATATAGCAAAGCCAGCATATGTAGCCCACCCTAATTGCTTTTGAACTGAGTGGCTCATTGGGCCACTAACAGAGGGCAGTTAAGAGTCAACCAAATTGCTGTGGATTTCGAGTCACACATAGACCAGGTAAGAAGATTTCCTTCCCCAAAGGAAGGAATATCCCTGAAGGACATTAGTGAACCAGATGGTTTTATACAATCGATCAGTTTCATGGCAGCATCAATTCCCAATTTTATTAAGTGATTCTAATTTCTACCAGCGGCCACATTCTGTATCCCCAGAGGATTAGCCTGCACTTCTGGATTACAGGCCAGTTACATTAACATCATTTCCCTCTGGCTTTCAATATCATGAAATACAGCATCACTCTAAAGATGAAAAAATATTACATGAGAAATATAACCATGGGTAGGCCAATCAGTTCCTCGAGCCTGCTCCATCATTGAAACAGTTCGTTGTTGATTTGTTGTGGCTTTAACTCTCCTTTCCTACCTGCACCCCCTCATCCCAAATAACATTTGATTCCTTTGGATATATTCAAAAACCGAACCTCAACTGCTCACTCAGGTAATAAATGCCAATAACCCCAAGGGAGATCAAATTGTCACGCTCCTATTTTGTTTTTGAATTGTGTTCCTTAGTTGTAGATTGCCACACAAAGGAAAACTTCCAGTGTCCACCAGGTTAAGCACACAGAATGTTATATGTTTCAATAAATCAATCCCTCATCCCAGGAATCAGCCTGATTTATTAGGATAATACCAGAACACTGAGGTTACATGTATCAGGAAAGGCTGAACAGGCTGAAAACCCCAGTCTCTATTGAATAGGGGACTGAGGAGTAATCTGAACCAATTTTTACAATTATGAAGACATTTGATCAGGTAAGAATGAAAGGATGTTCCTGCTTGAAGTCAAGACCAGAACTGGGTAGTTTCAATACAATATAGTCACTAATGAATTGATTAGGTAATTCAGGAAAAACACCGTTATCTTGAGAGTGGTGCCAGCGTCAAATTTGCAAGCACAGGAAGTAATTAAATCCAGTCATGCTATTTGTGCTAAAGAGAAACTAGATAAACATATGAAGAGGAGAAAGAAATACAACAGATATGCTGGTTAAGGATGAAGGGTTGAAAAGGGTTCTATGTGATATAAACAATAGCATAGAAACGTTGCACCAAACAGATTATAATTCACACTGCGAATATTCCAACCACTGCCAAATAAGCTGAATTTGTTTGTCGGTCATTTTTAAAATTATTTACAGAAAGACTTTACTGTAATAAATGACATAGCAGACCACGGAAGAACCATAATGTCCACTTTCCTGGTGTTTTCATTAGCATGGAAGGCTTGAGTGCAAAAGGCTACAGCATTCAGCTTGTTGCACACAAAGCCACAAGTGAAAATAAAGATGTGGCACTCTGGCTACTCATTGCTGTAATGTTCAGTGGGTAAATCCCAGCTCTCACAATTTGGTCAGTTTTGAAATATTCAGATAGTATAGGCATCTGTACTGTGTAAACATTTAAATTAATAGCAGATAGGTATTAAAACAATGAGATTCGACAATTCATTGCATTTACATTTTATGCAATGTCAAAGAGAAGTATGAATAGATTACCCCCTTATAAAGGGTTGCCCTATGCTTAACCCTCTAGTCAAGTAAAACCTTCCAAGTTTATTTCAAGTTACAGGCTAGGATGAATCTATTTGAGACTGCCCATGTTAGCTTCACTCAAGAATGCTTGTGGTCAACAGAAAGATTTTACAAACTTTCAATCAATCTGTAAGAAACAATCAAAATGCATGCCATTACCCTGTTTTCTGAAATTAAAAGTAATATCAACCACAAATATTGCAGATCATGCTCGTGGTATTTACCAAAGCAGTCTGCAACATGACAATTGCACGTTTCTTTTCCTCAAATTCCAGTTTTAATCTGATCATTGAGCTTGTAACCTCGGTTGCCATGACTGAAGCTTGTTCGAGGTGAGACAATTCTTCTTCAGAAAGCAGAACCTGGAGACAGTATACAGCAAATGTTATATTGAAAAGGCTACATCACATGCTCAATATGACCTACTGTTTTCAAATGACTTTAATGCCATGTTGGCAGTTAGGCCAAAACATAGTACTTGATCCCATGCCTCAATTTTTAAAATAATCAAGTCCGATTCAAGGGCCCAGTGCACTCTCCCAGCCTACGACTTGCCGATGTGTAACTCTCCTTCCCCTTCCTTTACCAAAGGTAAAGTAAATGCCCTGCACACTGCTACAATTGACATATCTTATTCTTAAAATAAAGACCTTCCTTGCTATTCATTTTAGGGTTACAAGAATTTAATTTAAGTTTTAAAAAATGAAAAGCAGACAGCCCGACTTACCTCTTTGGGAGCTGTTGAGGAACAAGACTTCGGTCGCTCTTGTTCAGACTTCTCCATCTCATCAAGGAAACTCATAATGCTTTGCAGCTTTGCTTCAGACAGCAGAGTGCCATCATTTGGCAGGCCTGAAGCCTGCTCAATTTGCCCCAGTTTCTCCAGATTATCTGCCGTCAAGGATGTGGAGTCGCAATCCTGTTTGTTAAGAGACAGCGTGTAGGACAAACTGTGCACGTCAAGCAAATTGTACTCGTTGTTAATATGATAGCAATCGGTAACTTTAAAAATCAAAACACTAATGGTTACACATAAGGGCAGTAAGTAAAAAAAAAGATGGATGTTACACCAATCCTTTGGAGATCCAATGACAAATTTTCGAAGTTGGATGATTCTCTGCAGTTCCGCTGCCATCCCACCTTCAAACAGTTCTTTATATTACAGCAGTTCATAACCACACAAGCATGACACCCTCAACCAATCAAAGGCATGTTTTAAAATTTTAACTACATATTGACATGCGTCCAATGTAATTCATCCAATTTTTTTAGGTTTCTACTGCTGTGAAGCCTTACTAGCAACAGTGAAACAATTTAAGATCGCAATGTTCCTATGAGCTACAGCGAAATAATATAAGATTGCAATGTGCCTTACAGGCTATAGTGAAACAATTTAAGATCAAAATGTGCTTTACAAGCAACAGTGGATCCATTCAAGACACAATTCTCACCTTGGAAGCTGGAAAAGCCAAACACTTTTTCAACTTGTTACTTATTTCCTACCATTTGAACTAATTCAAAGTGTCAAGTCTCTCAAAACATAGCAGGATGGCATGTTACAGCCAAGGTGCCTGTTAAGTATTATAGTTGGGGTATGTTATCTTGGGACAGTCTCCCTTTAAGAAGTGAATCACATGAAATACTTGTGTGTCATACTGGTGAGTCATCAGCTAGCTTCATGGACTCTTTCAGACTGTATTGAGTTTTTAAACAGAATGCACAGCTCAGAATAAAACCTCCTTTTTGGATTGCAGCAAACAATGAGTTTGTGCGTTCTTTAGTTCTGACTGGAGCCTAGTACCTGCCTAGTACAGAATACTACCAACCAGGGTAATTTGAATCAATGCAGGGGCATAGAAGGCTAATTAGGCCTGGGGTGTTTTTATTAAATATTGCTTTCCAGATTCATTGGCTCACTGTTGTTGTATTCCCTTTATTCCAATATTCGAATTGTCCTCTAACATTCTATTGAAATATACAAAAGAGCAGCCTGCCTTCAGATTGAAGGCAAGATGATAAATTGGGTAGCTGAAGTCAGATTTCAGAAAAGTGTAAGGATAATAAAGCATTAATAGGGGATTTTAACTACCCAAACATTTGCAATAATTTAGTATGCAAATTAGGGACAGAGCAAAATTCTTGAGTTGCCTCCAGGAGAAGTTTTTTTAGCCAGGATATATAAAGTCCAACAAGGGGAGGGCCAGATCTGGACCCCTAATATTCAGAAGTGAGCTCAGTCAGGTGGAAGGTATATCAGTTGAGGTACATTTTGGACGCAGCGACCATAACTCAGTTAGAATTAGGATAATTATGGAAGAGGATAAGAATGGGCTGGAATAAGCGTTCTAAATTAGGGAAGACTAATTTTACTAAGATGAGATACATTTTGATACAAGTGGACTGGAAGCAGCTACTTGCAAATAAAACTGCATCAGAGCAGTGAGAGGTGTTCAAGGAAGAATTTGCAAGAGTATAGGGCCATTATGTTCCCAAACAAAGGGAAGGTTCATGCCAGGACAGGCCTGTTTCTAATGGGGTTCTGCAGGGTTCAGTGTTGAGACCATTGTTGTTTGTGTGACGTTTACAATTTGTACTTAAATGTGTGGGGTATGATCAAGAAATTCGCAGATGACATGAAAATTGATACGGTAAATAGTGAGGAGGATAGCCACCAACTGCAGAAACATATCAATGGTCTGGTCAGCTGGCAGAGCAATGGTAAATGAAACTCAACCTGGAAAAATGGGAGGCAATGCACTTAGGGAGGACCAATACAGCAAGGGATTACACGATTAATGGTTGGACCCTACGACATACGGAAGATCAGAGGAAACTTGATATAAAAATCCATAGATCCCTGAAGTAGCAAGGCTGATAAATAAGGTGGTTAAGAAGGCATATGGAAACTTGCCTTTATTTAAAAAATCAGAGTACAAGAGCACGAGGTTATGCTGGAACTCTATAAAATGCCGGTTAGACCACAACTGGGTTATTGTAAACAGTTTTGGTCATCACAGTATAGGAAGAATGTGATTGCATTAGGGGAGGTGTAGAGCAGATTTACCAGCTTGGGACGGAGGGTCTGAGCAATGAAGAAAGGTCGGATTGGCTGAGGTTGTTTCATTAGAGCTGTGAAGTTGAAGAGGAATCTTGATTTATGGCATATAAAGTTATGAGGGGTATAGATAGGGTGAATAGAAAGGCACTTTTTCCATTAGCGGAGGGGTCAATAACCAGGAGACATAGATTTCAGATGAGTAGGAGAAGGTTAAGAGGAAGTTGAGGAGAAACGTTTTCACCCAGAGGATGGTGGGAGTCTGGAACTCACTTGCCTGAAAGAGTGGATGGATCAGAAACTCTCATAACATTTAAGTAGTACTTGGAAATTCTCTTGCCTCGCTCTAGTCTCCCGGCTATGAGCCAAGAGCTGGAAAACGAGACTTGTGTAGCCAGGTTTTTATTGACTGGTGTTGAGATAATGAGCCAAATGTTCCACTGCTAAGCTGCAAATGTTTAAAATGGATCACTACCCAAGAGCCTCATAGTACAACCCCTCATCTATCCCCTCATGTAGTAACATAAACAGGCTCATAGTAGTAACTATATAATGTTCCATCAACACCTATGGGACCAGAGTTATGCCAGTAAGAGTAATGACTAACAGACGGATCTATCAATAAATACCTCCTCCCTGGTGTCGTTCCATCACAAGGTATCTTGCACCTCACACTCAGGAGAATGGTCATCCAAAATAAGTCCTAAATCAAGTCCTTGGTTTAGGGTGTCATTAGAGCATATGTCACACTACTCTTACAATAACATCATTCCGGATTAGCAATTTTCTGCTTCCCTTCTGATTCCCAGGGAAAATCTCCATACTCCCTATGATGATGTTCCTATATAGACCCTATTAAAATGAAGGGCTATTGGCTCCTTAAGTTAGGGATGTTACATGGTATGCAAGGACTGTGAGAAACACCACATAGGCCAAACCAGAAGACTACAATACAGACACACGAGCACCAACTAGCCACCAAGAGACACGACCAATTCTCATTTGTCTCACTACACACGGACAATGAGGGACACGAATTTGACTGGGACAACGCATCCATAATAGCACAAGCCAAACAGAGACATGCCAGGGAATTCCTGGAGGCCTGGTATTCCAACCGGAACTCCATCAAACACGTTGAATTAGACCCTGTGTACAAACCACTGAGAAACAGAACCGGAAGTAATGCCAACCATCCTAACAAACTGAAGCATATAAATAACAAGTGGGACAGAACATCGACGTCTTACCGTAGGCGCACTGACGATGTTACCTAGCAGAGTGAAGAAACGTTTGCAACCAAACCTAACAGCTCGGCGAGCATGTCTACAACCACATCAGTTTATAGTTTATAGTCACAAAACAGTCAAAACATACCCCATCAATCCAAGCATATTTATCCTTCTTATGGGCGTTTGGTTCAGGGAGTAGTTTAGGTTCTTCCTCCAGTAACTTGAGTGTGTCAAGTACTTCATTCAGCGTTGTTTTAGACTGGGTTAGGCTTGTTGTCATTATCCCCTGTTCCTCAGCTGATATCTCTGTCTCAATCACATCCTGTGGCTGGTTCTACAAAACATACTGAGATCGGTTAAAAATTTTTAGGAAGAAACATATATTAATTTAGTGCTCTTCATATGTACAGGGCCTCCAAAAGCACATAGCATTTAATGGATCACTGTTAAATCATAAAATCAGTTGTTTTATGAAATGAATGCAGTCAAACAACATCCAGTAAAAGCACCCACAAACAATAAAGAGATTCATGTCCAATGCGTTTGAAAGACTGACTAAGGAGCAAATGTTGGTGGGGACACCAGCAAAACGGACACACTCTTTAGTTAGCACATGGGAACTTTTGAATTCACCAGAGAGATGGATTAAGGACAGATCTGATGACTCATCTGAAAGGCAGTACCTCCAACTGAGCAAAGATTTTAATATTAATAGAGTTACTTGAGATCAGGATGGTGGGGAGAGCAGATAAAAATCTGCCAGCATTCTTTTTCAGAGCAGCATGGTGGCTCAGTGGTTAGCACTGCTGCCTCACATCACCGGAGAACTGGGTTCGATTCCACCCTTGGACTACCATCTGTGTGGAGTTTGCACATTCTCTCCTCCTACAGTCCAAAGACGTCCAGGTTACGTGGACTGGCCGTGCAAAGTTGCCCATAGTGTGCAGGGGCCTGAAGACTAGGTAGATTAGCCATTGGGGATGGGTCTGGGTGGGATTTTCTTCCTCGGAGGGATGGTGTGGACTCGATGGGTTGAATAGCCCGCTTCTACACTGTACGGATTCTATGATTCTCAGTGCTGCACTGAGATATCAAACATTATACCGGAATAAAACTCAAGCATTTCAAAGATAATATTTGTACCAGTGAGGGAAACTGACTAAAATTTATAAGGTCCCTTGTTAAATTCAAGCAAGTTTTTCCCAAAACGGAGGTGAACTAACAAAATAGGCAAAATAAAGCACTCTGTTAAAAAAAGCATCTGCCAATGTCAAGTGATAACAAGGTGTAGAGCTGGATGAACACAGCAGGCCAAGCAGCATCAGAGGAGCAGGAAAGCTGATGTTTCGGGTCGAGACCCTTCTTCAGAAAAAGATTATATTCATTGGAATTCAGAAGATTGAGGGGGGGATCTTATAGAAACATACAAAATCATGAAGGGAATAGATAAGATAGAAGTAGAGAGGATGTTTCCACTGGTAGGTGAAGCTAGGACAAGAGGGCATAGCCTCAAGATTAGAGGGAGCAGATTTAGGACTGAACTGAGAAGGAATTTCTTCACCCAGAGGGTTGTTAATCTATGGAATTCCTTGCCCAGTGAAGTAGTTGACGCTACTTCAGTAAATGTTTTTAAAAAAAAGGTAGATTTTTTTTGAACAATAAAGGAATTAAGAGATACGGTGAGAACGCGGGTAAGTGGATCTGAGTTCACAAAAGGATCAGCCATGATCTTATTGAATGGCGGAGCAGGCTTGAAGGGCCAGACGGCCTACTCCTGCTCCTAGTTCTTATGTTCTTATGTATGAAATATGAGGAATCTTATAAATCAGTACAATTCTAGTATAATAGAAAGGAAATTCAGAAATTCCAAACATTTTTAAAGTTACCATAATGTAGTTTAGTGATGGGGAGAGCTTTTTTCCCATTAATTTGTGGGATATGAACGTCACTTTCTGGCAGCATTTATTGCCTGTCCCTAGTTGCCCTTGAGAAGGTGGTGGTGAGCTGCCTTCTTGAACTACTGCAGACCCCCTGCTGTGGGTTGACCCACAATGCCATTAGGGAGGGAATTCCAGGATTTTGACCCAGCAACAGTGAAGGAACGGTAATATACAGGTAGTTCTCCTATAATGTGATAGTTGTGTTCTTGTGGGACTTCGCGCTATAGAAAATTACCATAGAAAATAGTGTTATAGGGAAATTGCTATTAAAAAAAAGTCGCTATACCTGTACATCAGAAAGTTGACGTTATCCAAATAGCATCCACCATACATCAATCGCATTACAGCCAATTCACATTAATGAAACACACGTTATAGCAGAATGCGTTATAGTAGAGAGTACACACTGCTACTACTGAGTAATGGTGGTGGAGGGAGTGGACGCATGTGGATGTGGTGCCAATCAAGCTGGCTGCTTTGTCCTAGATGATGTTGAGCTTCTTGAATGTTGTTGGAGCTGCACTCATCCAAGCAAGTGGGGAGTATTCCATCACACGCCTGACATGTGCCTTGTAGATGATGGACAAGCTTTGAGGAGTCAGGGGGTGAGTTAATTGCTGCAGTCTTCCTAGCCTCTGACCTGCTCTTGTAGCCACTGTGTTTATTTGGTGAGTCAATGATAACCCCAAGGATGTTGATGATGGGGGATTTAGTGTTGATAACACCATTGAATGCCAAGGGGTGGTGGTTAGATTGTCTCTTATTGGTGATGGTCATATCCTGGCATTTGTGTGGAGCGAATGTTACTTGCCACTTGTCAGCTCAAGCGTGAATATTGTCCAGGTCTTGTTGCATTTGAACATGGACTCCTTCAGTATCTGAGGAGTCACAAATGGTGCTGAACATTGTGCAATCATTGGCGAACATCCCCTCTTCTGACCTTATGATGAAGGGAAGGTCTTTAATGAAGCAGCTGAAGATTGTTAGGCTAAGGACACTACCTTGAGGAACTCCTGCAGAGATGTCCTGGAGCTGAGACGACTGACCTCCAACAACCACAACCATCTTCCTATTTCTCAGGTATGACTCCAACCACCTGAGAGTTTGCCCCCGATACCGATTGATTCCTGTTTTGCCAGGGGTCCTTGATGCCACACTCGGTGAATACAGCCTTAATGTCAAGGGCTGTCATTCTCAGCTCTCCTCTGGAATTCAGCTCCTTTGTCCATGATTGAACCAAGTCTGTAATGAGGTCAGAAGTCGACTGGCCCTGGAGGTACCCAAACTGGGCATCACTGAGCAGGTCATTGCTGAGCAGGTGCTGCTTAATACCACTGTTGATGACACTTTCCATCACCTTACTGATGATCAAGTGTAGACTAATGGGGCGGTAATTGGCAGGGTTGAATTTGTCCTGCTTTTTATGTACAGGACATACTTGGGCAATGTGCCACATTGTTGGGCAGCTGCCAGTGTTGTAACTGTACTGGAACAACTTGGCTAGGGGACCGGCAAGTTCTGGAGCACAAATCTTCAGTACTATTGCCGGAAATTTAGGGACGACATGGTGGCTCAGTGGTCAGCACTACCGCCTCAGCACCAGGAACCCGAGTTCAATTCCACGCTCGGGTGACTGTCTATGTGGAGTTTGCATGTTCTCCACGTTTGCATGGGTTTCCTCCGGGTGCTCTGGTTTCCTCCCACAGTCCAAAGATATGCAGGCTAGGTGGATTGGCTATGCTAAATTTCCTATAGTGTTCAGGGATGTGTAGATTATGTGGGTTATAGGGGGAATGGGTCTGGGTGGAATGCGTGGAGGGTCGGTGTGGACTTGTTGGGCTGAAGGGCCTGTTTCCACACTGCAGGGATTCTATGATCTAAATGTTGTCAGGACCCGTAGCCTTTGCGGTATCTAGTGTCTAACTATTTCTTGATATCATGTGGAGTGAATCAAATTGGCTGAAGACTGGTATCTGTAATGCTAGGGACCACTGGAGGAGGTGGAGATTGATCATCCACTTGGCACTTCTGGCTGAAGATTGTTGTGAAAGCTTCAGCCTTATCTTTTGCACTGATATGTTGGGCTCTTCCATCATTGAGGATGGGGATATTTGTGCAGCCTCCTTCTCAGTGAGTTGTTTAACTGTCCACCACCATTCATGACTGGGTGTGGCCAGACTGCAGAGCTTAGATCTGATCTGTTGGTTGTGGGATCGCTTAGCTCTGTCTATCACTTGCTGCTTATGCTATTTGGCGTGCAAGTAGTCCCATTTGGTGGCTTCACCAGGTTGACACCTGATTTTCAGGTATGCATGGTGCTGCTCCTGGCATGCTCTCCTGCACTCTCCCTTGAAGCAGAGTTGATCCCCTGGTGTGATGGTAATGGTTGAGTGGGGGATATGCCGGGCCATGAGGTTACAGATTGTGCCGGAGTACAATTCTGCTGCTCTTGATGGCCCATAGCGCTTTACGGATGCCCAGTCTTGAGCTGCTAGATCTGTGCGATGTCTGTCCCACTTAGCACGGTGATAGTGCCACATAACACAATGGAGGTTATTCTCCATAAGGACTGTGTGATGATCACTCTTACTGATAGTCACGGACAGATGCAACTGCAACTGGCAGATTAGTAAGGATGAGGTAAAATATGTTTTTCCCTCTTGTTGATTCCCTCACCACCTGCCTCAGACCCAGTCTAGCAGCTGTGTCCCTTAGGACCCGACCAGCTCGATCAGTAGTACTGCTGCTGAGCCACTCTTGGTGGTGGACACTGAAATCCCCACCCAGAGTGCATTTTGTGCCCTCGCCATCCTCAGTGCTTCCTCCAAGTGTTGTTCAACGTAGAGGAGCACCAAGTCATCAGCTGAGGGAGGATGGTACGTGGTAATCAGTAGGAGGTTTCCTTGCACACGTTTAACCTGAAGTCATGAGACTTTTTTGGGTCCGGTGTCAATGTTGAGGACTCCCAGAGCAACTATATACCACTAGACTATATACCACTGTGCTAGCACCTCTGCTGGGTCTGTTCTGCCAGTGAGGCAGGACATATCCAGGGATGGCGATGGTGCTGTCTGTAAGATACGATTCTGTGAGTATGACAATGTCAGGCTGTTGCTTAAAGGTCTGTGAGACAGCTCTCCCAATTTTGGCACTAGCCCCCAGATGTTAGTGAGGATAACTTTATGGGTCAACAGGATTGTCTCTGCCATTGTCTTTTCCAATGCCTCAGACAATGCCAGGTGATCCGTCCCATTTCATTTCTTTGAGACTTTGTAGCAACTGGTACAACTAAATGGCTTGCTAGGCCATTTCAGAGGGCAGTTGAGAGTCAACCACATTGCTGCGAGTCTGGAGTCACATGTAGGCCAGGCCAGGTGAGGATGGCAGATTTCCT